AACCCTAAACCCTAAACCGCCCTTTTTTGGAAGCATGAGGCCGACTGGCAGACGTGGGAGGAGAAGCTGCCGAACCCCTTCAAGCCTGGGGAGGAGAACTGTAGGGTTTAGGGTTTATGGTTTAGGGTTTAGGGAGGAGAACTGGCCTTGAGAACTGGCATTTTAGGGCTTTTAGGGTTTAGGGTTTAGGGACCAGAACTGGCATTTTAGGGCTTTCGGGGCTATAGGGTTTAGGGTTGATGGTGTTGACTCCTGATGTGTGCAATAGCGGCCTTAAAAACTGCCGACTGCCAATACCACTCCAAAATACTTATGTATAACAGTACCACATATAATTAACAGTAGAATATGCAACAGAGACCTTGTTCTATAAGGATTATATTAAAGGGAAGTGTAGAGTCTCGAAGTTTCGATACTACGAGTTTGAGTTTGGGAAAGGTGGTGTCCACGAGTTCAGGCTCGAGGGTTTGGAGTTTGCGTTCAGCCTGTACGACATCAGCATGTACAACAAGCATGCCCGAAACCCTAAACCCTAAACCCCTAAACCCTAAACCCTAAACCCTCAAGCAAGTGGCAGGTTAGATGACTGCGGGGTTTAGGATAGGGCTTCAAGGTTGGAGATGGTATTATGCAAGAACAAAATTCGACCTGAGGATCCAACAAGGAACCATGGTATTGCAGGGGACATACCCGACGTTCACCTAAACCCTAAACCCTAAACCCCTAAACCCCAAACCCCCAAACCCTTAAACCCTAAACCCCTAAACTCCTAAACCCTAAACCCTTAAACCCTAAACCCCTAAACTCCCGAAGCTACCCTAAATCCTGAACCGATGGAAGCTGGGAAGCATGAACCGAGGACTTATCCTGTTACGTTCTCGAGACGCAACTTTTGAGGGTTTAGGGTTTAGGGGTTTAGGGGTTTAGGGTTTTGGGCTTAGGGGTTTAGGGCTTAGTGTTTCGGGTTTAGGGTTTAGGGTTTAGGGTTTGGGGGTTTAGGGGTTTAGGGTTTGGTATGGCCCGGAATGATGGCTACTAACTTTTTACCGATGACAGCATCAGCTACAGCTTCAGCGGGTCTTCCACTTCCGATGATGATGCTTGTCGAGACGATGGTCCCAAAATCACAGTAAGGGTCCATGTGCCCAAATAGTATATACATCGACCCCGAAGTACCTAAAGAGGGACTACATTGAGGCGAAAGCATATACGATTTGGGTACATGGACCCGTAGGTCACAGTACGTCATGCCAGGAGGATCGGGGGATGCCTATACAGAGAGGACTTCCCTGAGAGTTCACCTTGACCCCATCGAACCTTCCTGGGGTTCCCTTTATGGTTTCCTTCCCTGGGTTCCCTTCATGCTTTCCTTATACAAGTCTGGTTTAGGGGTTTAGGGTCTTAAAGATATAAGTTACTTGGAGTCCAGGTGGGGAGTGGCATGCCGCTTTGCCAAAACCCTGCAAACCCTACAGCCTAATCCCGAAAACCCTAAACCCGAAGACCCCAAACCGCACATGCTGCAACCCTTTCCAGGATACTCCGTTCCACCGTATCATCGTGCCGACGACCGACACCATCCGTGACCTGCTGGACCGAGAGACTCCGAAACCCCCTTTTGTTAAGGAATATACCTTAAACCCCGGATCTGATTGGAATTCCTACTAGAACTTACGGTATATTCCTGAATTAAGGAAGATACCCTACATCATAGGAGGGGTCTTGTTTTAATTTGAGGTGCATTCCTTAATTAAGGGGTGTTGGAGACGGGCCGGAAGTCAGGGAATGTGTCGGAGGGTCGCAGGTGAGGGCTTCTAGGGCTTTTAGGACTGGGTTTAGGGCTTAGGGTTCAGGGCCTCGGGGTTCTCCCCAATACCCAACCTTCAAACTTTTTGGGTTCTTATATTTTAGTCGTCATCTGAGAGTTTAACCTTTTATTCCTCTGGCATGTTGGGGAGGTTCAGGAAATCTTTCAAAGGGTCTGGGGTCCAGGGTTTTAGGGTTCAGGGGGTTAGTGTCCAGGGTTTGTAGGTTTAGGACTTTTAGGGCTCTAAGGGTTATGTCTAAGGAGAGCTATCAAACGGGTCTGGGGTCTGGCGGTTAGGCGAGTCAGGGTTGAGGGTTTTTTCCCCCATCAGCCTACCTTTTGAAGCACTCTAAACCCTAAACCCTAAACCCTAAACCCTAAACCCTAAACCCCTAAACCCTAAACCCTAAACCCTAAATATCAAAGCAGGAGCCCTGAACACGACGATTCTATGGGGTCCAGGTAAGGGTTCCTAAGCGTCCCTGTACCCGACTAGTAGATACTTTGGCCTTAAAGTAGTCCCAACCCTAAACCCTAAACCCTAAACCCTAAACCCTAAACCCTAAACCCTAAACCCTAAACCTACACAGGTAATTTGGGGCCAAAGTATAGACTATTTGGGAACATGGACCCTTACTGTATCCCTTTCAAGGAACCCTTTACAGGAACCTTATTCTCATGATTCAGGCCACAATGTTTTTCTAATTGTTCAAGCCCCTACACACTCCGCCAGCGACCCTAAACCCTAAAACCTAAACCCTAAACCCAACACCCTAAACCTTAAACCCTTAACCCTAAACTCTGAACCCCAAAACCCTAAACCCTAAACCCAAACCCCTAAACCCTACCCTAAACCCTAAACCCAACGCGCTAAACCCTAACCCCCAAACCCTACACCCTAAACCCCTACACCCTAAACCTTAAACCCTAAACCCTAAACCCTACACACTCCTCCAGCGACTCTTGGCCTGAAAGTCTTCCCGCCCCCTCGGCTTTGGGGCTTGAAGGTCTAGGTTTTAGGGGTGTGGTGTTTGCGAGTTTAGGGTTTAGTGTTTTGATGCTTAGGGTTTATTGGTGTTAGGGTTTTCGAGTTTAGGGTTTAAGTTTTGATGCTTAGGGACCACTTTGGGATTAGATTTTACGATTTTAGAGTTTAGGGTTTAGTGTGTTGATGTTCAGGGTTTAGGGTTTTAGGGCTTTCGAGTTTAGGCTTTAGTGTTGTGATGTTCAGGGTTTGGGTTTTGGGGTTTAGGGTTTAGGGTTTTATGGATGTTGGGTTTAGGGTTTCATGTTCATAGTTAACTTCTCGAAATGCCTGCACACCCTAAGCCCTGAAACGTGAGGTAACATGTTCATCCTCAACTCCCTGAACGGCAAGCATTTCCACAGCCTTCTGGTCGGTGCGACTGGCACGGGAAAGACCATTGCTGTGCAGCAGGCAGAGTGGTTCAGAGTTTGGGGCAAGGGATGTTGGCTTTGCATCTTCTAGTCTCAGGTTCTATACTACTATATCCTTGCATCTTCTAGTTTCAGGTTCTATACTACTATATCCTTGCATCTTCTAGTTTCAGGTTCTATACTACTATATACCCCCAAAGGTCCTACTACGCCCAAACCATAACAGTACCTCTCATGACGGAAACGCTGTGATATGCTTCGTACTATAGGTACCTAGGACCCTTAGGGACCCTGAACTTGCTCCGCCATACACCCTTAGAGTTGTGTGTTTCCCTTTTAAGGGTCCAAGTACCTAATAATCATATACTCTCCCAAATAGTAGCCTACATAACTACTATCCGTTACTATCCGAAACCTAAGTACCTGATTATTGGGTCGTTTGGACCCTTGGGGTTTGTTGAGGGGGGTGATACTGCGTCACTCAAGTGCTGCTGGAAGAGGGGGGGTTGGATCAGCAGGGTTCGACGGTTTGGGCTTCAGGGTCTAAACTGCGAACATCATGGGACTAAGTGGACAGGGCTTGCTTCTTAATTCATGACTGTCTCACCTAAACCCTAAACCCTAAACCCATAAACCCTAAACCCTAAACCCCCGTAGTATTTAAAGTGCAACTCGACACCTTTGCGGCCCGTGTGTATGTAGCCAGTCAGCCATCTCCCAGAGCCTTTCAGATGCCGCTTCGAGTAATTGATCCGGCAATCCTAAGACCTAATTATAGGCCCCATAGTAGTTCCTTTTTGGGGTTCATATTTAGAATCCTATAAGGTAATCCCAAAAAGGAACTACTATGCTGAAGGGGTGAACGAGAGGCCATTTCGGAGCTTGATGACACGGCCTGGACCTCTCTCACGATCAACATGTCGGCAATGACATCGTCAGGCATGAGGGAGGGACGGCTTGCAGGGTCGTGTTTTCTAGCTTGTGGCAGTGGACCTCAATGCAAGTTGATGGCATGGGGATTCTTAGGTTTCCATATGTTTTAAACTTGCTGGACCACCGCCACGACATGCTGAAGCCTCGTGAAGAGAAGCTGTCTGCTACAGTCGTCGGTGCTGCTACCCTTGTAGCGTGTATGTGTGTGCATCTACATAGGTGAATAAGTAAACAAATAAATAAATGTGTATATATATATATGTAGGCAGATAGATAGATAGATAGATAGATAGATAGATAGCAACCTCCTATGCAGATAGATGGCGGCGTAGTGTGCACGTTTCTGTGCAGGTACATTGCAGACTCCATAAACGCTAGGAGATGCAACCGTAACCCTAAACCTGCTGGGTAACATTTTGCATTTTAAATTTTGGGGGGTACATGAATTCAACAAGGAATAAAACCTTAAATCCTTAATGCTATCCCAGCCATGAACTAGTAAACGCTGAACCTGAACCCGAACTGACTGTGGGGCAAGGGCACTTCGGGTTCAGGGAGTGAACGTTTAGGGTTTAGGGTTTTGAGCTTATGGATTGGGTTTGGAGTTTAGGGTTTAGGGACGGTGTGGAGTTATTGTAAGGGTCCAGAGGACCCAATGATTGTATTCTTAGGCGTCGAATAGTAGTTACTTTAGTTAGTATTCGGGACAACAAAATTCTAGTCAATACCTTTATGCACTTGGGGCGTCCAGGCAGGGTTAGGACCCTAAGTGTCTTCCAGGCAAGACTCAAGAGATCATCGAGAGCAAGATCGAGAAACGCATCAAGAACAAGTTCGGGCCGGTATCCTTGCGAAGCATTAACCACGGTGAAGGTGTAGGGTTTAGGGTTTAGCGTGCGAAGCTTGTGGAGTTGACCTTAAAGGCCTTATCGTAGAATCAGAACCTTGTTAGTAGCATGAAGCCCTGAAGAGCAAAATCGAGTTTGCCAGGGCTCTGCAAAATAAGTACAATCGAAGTACTTTCAGGTCAGGCCGAACAACCTAAACTAAACCCAGGCATCTGGGTTTGAACACTGTTTTCGGACGTTGGCCGCATCTAGCTTTAGATTATTGAATATTGGCCAGGGTTGTAGTTTCTGGCAAGTTCGAACCAGGACTGCTTGTTTCCCCGGCGCTGTCTAGACATTGGGCCTTTAAACAGCATTGTTAATCGTAGCAGTGTGCCGTTGCAGTTTTGCCGCCGCTGCCTCAGCATAGATTCTGTGCTTGCACTTTATCCGAAACCCCCCAGCCCTAAGTCCTCGAATCTTGAAGCTCTTCGTCCTACATGTTCGCTCTAAACCCTAAACCCTAAACCCTAAACCCTAAACCCTAAACCCTAAACCCTAAACCCTAAACCCTATCCTACCGGGCTAGCCAGAGCCGCCAAGCCCAAGTCTTCGTCTCAAGGCGGGCAACAAGCGAATGCTCATGTTCGTGGATGACCTGAACATGCCGAGGACAGCAAAAGCTCAGACATGACAGTGAAGAACAGAGTCGTCCGCCTTTCATGCAGGACACCTTCAATGAATATAAGTAGGGTCATCGTGATGCTGGCCTTGATCTTTAACAGAGGGGCTTTAATAATTGTTCATAGGCTTTTGGGGGTACGTCATACTATAGTTATGGTAAGGAACCCCTCCAACCCTATTCTAATTTTTGAGGCCCCTGCATTATCTTAGCTTTTGTTGATGAAGCACGATTGCCATGCTGAAGAGCCTGAAGATGACCACGTGCGACTGAAATATAGGCTCCATCGTAGTTCCTTTTTGGGATTACCTTACTTAGAGGATTCTAGATATGAGCCCCAAAACGGAACTGCTATGGGGCCTATGGGTAGAGGCTTGAAGGTCAAAAAAACGACATCCTCCTCTAGCTTCTTTATATCTGCAAGATCATATAACCCATCATACGGTTGATGATATAAATCCTGCATTACCTTCAGGACCCTAAAGCTATGGGAATTATGGTATATTCCTTATTATGGGTCATTTTGGATTTATATCATCCACCGTATCCCCCTGCCCTTTCCGGATATTAAGGCCCCTCTAGCAGTGCTTTTTGCTCGGGCGGCTTAAACCCTAAACCCTAAACCCTAAACCCTAAACCCTAAACCCTAAACCCCAACTCGGGCGGCTCTGGGGTTTGAGCTTGACTGACGGTCGAACCTGCTGACGTACGAACCTCGCACACGCTGAGCTGCGTAGTTGAGGGTTGGAATCTTCGTGATGGTATAACGCTAAACCTTAAACCCTAAACCCTAAACCCCTAAACCCTAAACCCCCTAAACCCTAAACGCTATGCATTAACCCCCAAACAATAGTTCCTGAACTTGAAATAGTGATCTCCCTCTGAACCTGACTTCTGATTCTCCTAAGCCAACCCCCGCCTAGGCCCTAAACCATCCTAAACACCAAACCCTAAACTTCCAGTCCGAAAAAATCCCAAAGCCCTAAACCCCCGAGCCTAAACCCTAGAAACCCTGTAATCTTTTTAAACCCTACACAGTCTTATAAGCCTTGTAAACTCTACAAAACTCCATAAGCCCGAAGCCCTGAACCCTGATGTCGAACATGATCGCGCAGGAAAGACACGTTCGGCTCACAGCCACCTCTGGAATTGTTGAGGCCTCTATCGGCAGTTGAGGTTTTCGTAAGGGGTTTAGGGCTTGGGAGTTCGAAGTTTCGGGGTACAGGGTTTATGGTTTGCGAGCTTGCAGTTTCGGGTTTTGGGGTGTAAGCTGTCCTTGAGGGCTTCGTCGGAGATTGTTTAAGGGGTAGGGTGTCGATAAGAACTCAGGGGTAGGTATTCGTGACGGGTGCTACTTGCATACACGCACTGCATAACCAAAGGGCTGACGGTTAACTTCTTTTGGGCCAGAAGGCAGCAGCGAGGGGAACTGGGGTTTGGGCTTCGGGGGATCATGCTCGAGGCTTCACGGACCAGAGACTCGTGCATCCCCAAATCCACAAATCCCTAATTTAAACCCTAAGCCCTAAACTTTAAGGTTCCTTTCTCGGGCTCTAGCTGAATAGAATCTTCAGTAAGAAATGATGGAGCCTCAGGAAGACAAGATTCGCGAGTATGGCATACATCGGATTTGGCCCAGGAGGTCATTGACCCCAAGCCCTGAGACCCAAACCCTAAACACTCGTAATCTCATCAATGTCATGTTCAGATGCTTTCGACTAGCACCATCTGTATACTTAGGCCCTACATTCACTAATTACATAGGAGGCCCTTTGAGGGCCTAGGCATACACATTGAACCAAAAAGCCCAAGCCCTAAATCCTAAACCCTGACACCGTAAGCCCTAAACCCTAAACTAGGCCCTAAACCCTAAACCCTACACGCACCCACACACCCCCTAAACCGCAAGCCCCGAGCGTAGCCAAGCTCTTTCCGGTGCTGCAGGCAGTGGATCGACTATGGGTGCTGGTACGACCGTGTCAAGCAGACGCTGAGGTTCCTTTGGGGGGGGGGAACTACTGTTAAGGACCTGGGATTTTTTTCATTTTTTGGGGGAGGGGGGTTAAGGGTTTAAGGTTTATAGGGTGTAGGGTTTTGGGTTTAGGGTTTGGCTTAGGATTTAGGGTTTCAGGGTTTAGGGTTTAGGGTGCAAGCTTGGGATTTTTAGGATGTGGGGGATTTTATGGGGTCTGCGGCTGGGGTCTGGGGTTTCTTACTGCTGCAAGACTCCGCTCCTTATTTCAAAGCCAACCCTACACCCATAGCCTTAATCCCTGGACCATGGTTTGGGGTCCAACTGAGACACCGAAAGCCCTCAGCGAAACACCATGATCTGATGCAAAGGGCCCCGAAACTCTAAAGTGACATCAAGAAATCCTAAACCCTGAAGCCTAAAAACTGGAAGGAATCAAGAGCAAGGCGCCTTTAACACATCTGTTATGAGAAGAAGCCCCTAAACCCTAGTCCCCAAGGCCTCTAAAAACCTTTAGGAGGCTCCGTCAAAGGCATCCCCCCCATATACCCTTTGAGACACGTTTGTCAAAGGGCTCCAAAGGTGGGATGAAGGTAGGTGGGGTAATCCTAAACTCAGCTTCCTTAGATACGTGATCCTTAAGGGTTTAGGGTTTAGGGGCCTTGATCCTACCTACCTTCATCCCAACCCTAAACCCTAAACCCTATAAGCCCTAAACCCTATGGGGGCCCTAAACCCTAAACAGGTACGTCGAGGGAATTCACATGGTTTCGGCCATGGGTCCTCCAGGAGGTGGTCGCGAGACTCGGATGGCGAGAAGCAGCGTTTTTTTTTCTTGAATTTCAGGGCTTTAGTATTTTGGAAGAGCTTGAGACCACGTTTTAGGGCATTTTGTATTTTTGAAGAGGTTGAGGCCAAGTTTAGGGTTTAGGGCTTTGGGAATTATAGTGCATTTTGTACTTTAGAAGAGGTTTAGACCAAGTCAGTTATAGGGCTTTTGCACTTTAGAAGAGGTTTTGGGTTTTGGGCTTTGGTTTACTTGGTTTAGTTTTGGGGTGGTGTTAGGGAAGCCGCGGGTTTTGAGTATTGTAGGGTGTTTGGGGGTTTCCCACGGTTTAGGGTTTAGGGTCGGGTTTGGGATAAGAAGAGGTGCTACACGGGTACTGCAAGCTTTATCGCATGGATTTGAGATTTGTTGCTAGGGTTGGGGTTTGGAACTGGCCCGTTCAGGTTTTATCACTTCCCAAGAGGTCCGCAGAAATTACTCGTAGGGAATTAGGTCCCCCAGACCGAAGAGGATGAGTACCAGTGGGGATCTAATTCCATAATCTTCTGGGTTCATAATGTTTGTTGGTCATTCCGCGAAAGGTGATCAGATCTGTGCAGGTTTAGGGCTTTTGATGTTGGTGCAGAGTTTAAGCGGGAATTCAGGATTTCTGGTGTTGGGTATTCCACCCTAAGGGCTAACAACATCCTAGACCAGGTTCAAGCCTGAGTACACCCACAGTCATGTGAGTCCTACAAGACCCAGAACACTTATATATACATATATATATATATATAGATAGATAGATAGATAGATAGATAGATAGATAGATAGATAGATATATATATAGAGAGAGAGAGAGAGACAGAGAGCCTGTAAAAAGCCTTACAATTACTGAGCCTTGAAGACGGCCCTTATAAACCCTAAACCCTAACCCTAACAAACCCTAGACCCCAAACCCTAACCCGAAGACTTGGCCCTAAGCCCAAACCTATACCCAGCCCTAAACCCTCTGCCCTGCCCTGAAAACCCTACATCCCCAAAAGCCCTTCGTAAGCCTTCAAAGATAGCCTCGAGGAAATGCCATAACCCGAAATCCGGAAACACTCACCTTATGCCCTGAACCCTAAAACTTTATAAACCCTATAAGCCCTAAGCCCTGCATTCACCCTTTACCTAACCCGGACCCTCAAAACCCGAAAGCCCTTTGGAAGCACAAGACACTGCATCGAGGCGGTCATTTCGTCACGGTTGCAATCTGCGGCCAACAACCTTTGCTTCGCACCCTGGAGACATGGTGTGCACCCACTAGGGGCCTTCCCCTAAGGGTCCAAGTGCCCAATAATCATACACTCTCCCAAATATTAACCTAGATAATTACTATCCGCAACCAGAATACCTTATTATTGGGTCCTGTGGACCCTTAGGTATCATAACTAGGCCAGGACTCCTATTGAAGATAAGGGTTTCTATGCAGCAGCAGAGGGTCACAGGCCTTAGTAAGTAAGGTGTCTATTCAGGGGCTTGTCGGTTGTTGCCAGGGCATTATGAGGGGCTACTTAGGGCAGTTCTGACTAGAGTAGGATTGCTTTCAAAAACTTGAACTGAACCTAATTGTCATTTTGCATGTAAAACATATAACGGAACCTATACCCCAGAAGCCCCAGGACCGGCACAAATCGTTGCCAAAGTGTTAAAGTTGTTTTGCAAGCGGGGCCTATGACCCCGTAGCCGAAACCGACGATGAGTCCTGAACCTCGGGACCAAAGCCCTTTACCCTTATAAAGCAACCCTTAAACGATTGCGGGAGACAGCTTAAGAAAGGATCCTAAACCCTAAACCCCTTAACCCCCAAACCCTAAACCCAAAGCCCCTAAACCCGAAACCCTAAAACCTAAACCCTAAAACCCTAAGCCCCTAAACCCGAAACCCCTAAACCCTAGAACCCTAAACCCTAAGACCCTAAACCCCTAAACCCCTAAACCCTAGAACCCTAAACCCTAAGACCCTAAACCCCTAAAGCCCTAAACCCCGTGAAGGAACCCTTACGGTCTGACCTCTTGAATCCCCGAGGCCATATGCCCGAACCGTGGCAAGACTTTAGGGATTAGGGTTTCAGGGTTTAGGGTTTAGGGTTTAGGGTTTAGGGTTTAGGGTTTAGGGTTTCAGGGTTTCAGGGTTTAGGGTTTTAGGGGGTTATTAGCGTTTAGGGTTAAGAGTTTGGGGTTCAGGAAGGTAAAAGCAACCCTTAGACCCTCCATCCACCCTCTATTCGACCGATGATTTGGGTCTATGGGGTTTTGTTTTTAGGGTTTAGGGGCTAGTAGTTTAGGGTTTAGGGTATAGCTTTTAGGGCTTAGGGTTCAATCAGGCCTTAAGGGGCCATACAGCCCTATTTGAAGGTACAAGGAGGGTTCTGATCCTCCAAGGTGAACCCATTTAAACCCTAAACCCCTAAAACCTAAACTTGAAACCCTAAAACCCTAAAACCCTAAAACCCTAAAACCCTAAAGCCCGAAACCCTAAACCCTAAAAACAAAAAAAACCTAAAACCCGAAACCCTAAACCCTAAACCCTTAACCCTCCAAGGTGAACCCGGCAGACAGCCAGATCAGGCGAATCTTCATGACCCTGGCGAGCTCCTCGTCCATCGGGGGTTGAAGGATTTGGGTGAGGGTTTGGGGACTTAGTAACGAATTTAGAGCCCTTAGTAGTTACCTTTTTTCCTTTGTTCCCCAAACAGCTTTAGCTGAGG